AAGGCAACGTAACAACCGAACTTCAGGCGTATGAAGACCTCGAAGTTCCTTTCTTTCCACAATAGCACCACATAACAATTCCAAGCAAGTCTAAACATAGAGAAAAGAAAAGACTTACCACTTGCGTTCCAACACACCCATTCAACCTCCCATGCCCAGGACATGACCGGGCGATTAACACCACAAGCCTCCAACACACTGCCCCGGACCAGTCTAGAGTAGAAGCACTCAAATCATAAGTGGTTTTGCGTTATAGGCTCACACAAACACAAGACGCAACGCCAACAACTATCAACAGCCAAACCAAGAGAGATAAACGACTTTTTGGTAAGGAGCTTATCCAACTTCGACATCTAAGCAATAACAGAGAATTTTGAGATATGCACCAAGTGACAAATCAACCTCTCCCATTCGACCTTATCCCCTTGGATACGAGCAGAGTTCCATATAGTGGAAACAAAACTTGCCGAACTATCCAGGAGATCCCCAACTACGACGACAGCCAGCCTGAGCAGGAGCAACCTACTCCAAACCCAATCGCCCCTAGAAGAGCTCTCCACCTGCCAGAAGGAGACGCCCTTCCAGACATATTGATCGACCCAAGCAATCCAAATAGAGCCTTCCTTAAGAAGCAGCCTCCTAATCAAATGAAAGAGACAAGCTTGGTTCCAACTTCGGATACTCTTCAACCCCAAACCGTCCTCGCTTTTTGGACAACAAATCTTCGGCCAACTAACACGAGCCCCCCTCACCCGTCCTCCCATTTCCAGAAAAACCGAGCACAAAGCTAAGTGACCCTGTCAAGAGCAGCGTTCGGTAAAACCAACTGTCCACACCAAAAGCTTTGAATGCCAAAAATACTTGACTGAATCGATTGCAACCTGCCAACATATGAGAGCTATCTAGCCACATTCCCTCACTAAAAGCTTCTTGGGGACAAGGGGAACACCAAGGTAACTCACATGTAAAGTAGCCTTCCTAATACCAATCTCATCACAAATCGCCGCCAACACAACACCATCCATATCTGATGAGAAAATTTCAGTCTTCCCAGGGTTCAGCCGCAAACCCAGGAGACTATAAAATTGCTCTAGTGAAGACAATCTTTCTTTTTATTATTAAGGATATTCAATAAATTTAAATTAAATTAAAATATATTTTGATATTATATTTAAATATAAAACCGGTGTGACATCACTGACACCGAGACAAAAGAACGAGACCAAACCCAAGTATCCCATGTTTTCATGTTTGCCACTTCACATTTGAAAAACCCTCCTCTTCCAAGAGAGATCCATGCATGTCTCCACACACGTGCAAAGAATGAACCATCAAGATCCACTAAGAATTAGAAGATAAAATTTTAAATATTTCACGATAATATCTTCGAGAGATACAATATTTGATTGTTGAGAATTCTAATTAATCATACAATCAAAAGGTCCTTCGACAAACTAAAGTAAAAATATAATTAGAAAGCCAGATATGCATGCACGATGATGATGGCTATAATAGAACATATGAGGTGTGGAAGTGTACTGCAAGAAGTTTTTACCTGCAATGGAACATGTTATTACTAACTATGTTCCTTAATTTAAGGTTTGTTTTATTTTTTTCTTAGAGAATAAAATCATTACAAAAGTATGAGCGGGGCACTTCGTAAAATAAGAGGAACATATACGAGTGGCATGAATTTGTGTTTTTGTGTATGATGGTGAGCATATGATGATGAGGCAAAGAAAGACAAAGCAAGAAACTGAAACATGGAATAAAGACGCATCCTTTTGTCATGGGACTGCAAAATTCAGGCACGGATGATGCAAACAGAACAAACTTCACCAACCTTTGTTTCTCCATTGCATCCTCATGGGAATATACACTAAAACCTTTGGAAGAGAGAAAGGGCAATTTATACATGTTAAATGTTGACCATGAACTGCTAGTAATCCTGATATTCCTTTAAAATATGGTTACTTTCACATAACAGTTAAAATTTGGGGTTCTTATTAAAAAAATCAGGCTGACAATGAACAACTCTACCATAATGTGTTCAACAGAACAAGGAGGAGGAAAACAGCAACTGCAAGGGATTTCACTTGTAGCAGGCTGGCCTGTTTTGTTGTGAGCTAGATATTTGTCTCTCTTTTTCCTTGTTTTTCTTGTATTGGGCTTCAATGTGGGCTACACGTGCATCTTCATCTTCATGATAGCTATACTTCCCCCACACTTCTACCTTGTACAGCAAAGGGTGTTAAGCAACAACACCTGTATAAAAACACTGGCACGGAAGAACAAAGCAATTACAAGCAGTAGACACATGGTACTGAACAGAGAGAGCATTTTTATCTGATGAATCTCACGGCACCATAAGTCAAAAACTAATTAGGTTCAAGATCAATAGTGGAAGACGTAGAAGCAGCAGATTGACATCTGTTTTGGCAACAAGATTTAACACTATAAGTTCCTTTATTTTAAGGTCAAATCAACCTATAACCACCCCAGACTGACATTTAGGAACCTGCCTTGTAGCCTCCTTACATTTCTCATCAACTCACTTGTTTTCCCCCAATATCAATATGCAGGAACACCAAGGTACAAACCAGGACTATCAGCAAAAGGGATACCCAATACTTCTCCCATCTTTTTTTTTCCACTCAATAGCATTAGAACTGAAAACCAAACTTGATTTTCTCAAATGCACTTGCCGCCCTGAAAGCTATACAAAATTCTTCAATGATTGCCAACAACTTTCTACAATTGCCCACATTAGCTTCAATAAAACACAATGAATCATCTGCAAAAACAAATGAGAAACAATAGGACAGTAATTATTAAACGTAGACCACTCAAATGAAGTGCTTGTGTTTGGCCATCGACCTTTATAGACAATATATCCATAGCATATAAGAGAAGATGTGGCCGAAGACCTCTTGAGCAATAAGCCAATAATATTGTTGTCATGAATTGTCTGTTCAGTTCGGGTTTTTCACTTGATCCAATGCAAATAGGTCATCATCATTAACCACCCTTATTATCCTTATTTACAACTTTAAACTTCAGTTGTTTGGTTATGTTTTTCAATAAAAAAAATGTGTTTGTTTCAGTTCCATCCGGTAGCTAAGAAGATGAAGGAAAGAGCACAAATACAAAGGACTTTCTTTTCCTTTGGATTATCTTTTCCCCATTCATCTCTGTGACAACTGAACCCTATGGCATATGCATATACCCTATGTTCATAGTCTGTTTTTTACTGCTAGTTTGAGTCCTCGTGTCTTGAGTTTGCACGGTATGCAAATGGGTAAAGTAATGGCACCAAGTGGGAAGCATCACTCGATGTGGGGTTGTACCATTTCATCAGAAATGACTTTGGTTTGAATTATTTGAAGGAATATTTCTGCATGATTTTACTTTGTATCTACCAACCATATGTGTTTGTGGGGTCTTAGGACAAAGATGTTATGCCTAACATAAACATGACATAGATTTCTAGAACTTGGGCTTCACTTAGTGAAGCAATTTCGAAATTTACTGTCTTGGTCTGCAGAAAACAATCATTGTCTACCACTTATATCATTGTGCTGCATTATTGTATATGCTTTGCAATATGAAATTTATCATTCAACTTCAGTTCACTGCATAAGACAGAGCTTTTACTTTTCCTTTTACAATGAATGAAAACTTCTTTCCCCCATTTTTGCAGGCGTTTTCATGCTTTTGCTTTCTTCTTTCTTTCTTTGTTTTTTTCTGTAACTTTTATGTACAATTCCTATCAATGCAATGGCAACCACATTCAGCTTTTTTCATTTGAACACGAGTTACTTCATGCTTGTAATTTTCTTACAGTTTAAGTTTGACTTGTGACATATTGCTAACATCATTTTCACTGTTGGGGTAACTATGCCTTGACACAAACACAATATTTTATATAAAATTTCCAATATTCTTTAGTTGGATGGCGACTAGTTCCGATGGTTCCCCCTTTTTCTTGTAGATTCCTTAGGCCATATTCTTCTCATCTTCTTCTAATGGGGTCCCTTAGAAAAACAATAATTGATAGTCCACCATAGTAATTGTATGACTTTTGATTCACTGGTTGGCAACGGCATCATCCCAGAATCTCCTTTTACATGGATATGGAATATATTAAAGCAGAAAGGAGGGTTTCAAGTGCAGCGGCTTGTTAAAGAGAAAGGTGTATCAATAACTCCTCTTTTTCTTGTTTTTCAAACACTCAGGGCCACACAGTATAAGACCTTGCCATTGAGGAAACTACAGGTTCATAGCCATGGGTGGTGAACATGGACCCGCCACTTTGTAGGTTCACCATGCTTATCTCATTGTTTAACCTTTTTTGTTGTTGTTGTTGTTGTTGATAGAGACAATCTCACCAGTGGACCTTCCACTCTAAGCTCACTGAATTGTATCCAACTGTGAGTCAACTTCAAAAGGCATCTATTCAAGGTAACTGAAGCAATGAAATCACACATCATTCAACAGACCAAATGAATGTATGGCACTGAGATGGCAAATACTTTGGTGTTCAATCATTGTATTTTCTTATACATTAACCTGTTTGGATCCAATGGCAATATGCATAAGAAAAAGAAATGGACCTTATTGGTGTAGGAATAATTTATCAATTGTGTTTTGGATACCTATAAAGTGACCTGTATTTTGAATATTTTCTTTATATGAAGAAAGAAAGAACAGGATGAGTGGGGTCCAAAATCTAATATTAGATTCTTTGATACATTATTCTACTGGTTTTTTCCCCTTTAAAAAGTACTCATTATATAACATTTCTGTCAAATGTAATTTTCTCTCTTTCTTTTTCCTTTGAAAGCTCCTCATAGTGTTAGGAAAGTTGAATTCCATCATGCATCATGGTGGAGCTAGCCTAACTCGGCAAGGGAATCAAGCAGGTAAAAGAATAAAAGCATGAATAAGGGGAAACAGGAACAAAACAAATCATGCACTTTCTTTATTTTTCTCTCCTTTTGAGACTCAAAATTTAACTCTGCTGTTTCCTCTGTCCTTGCTACATCAGAGAGTTCACTCCATCCACCACCCCATGAAGAACCTAAGATGGTCCGGAATAAGTGAACACTGAAACCGATAATTTTTTTTACCATTCATTGACTTAAGCCTTGGGATGTCTCGAATATGTCCCGAGGCGAAGCCCTTGTGCCCTCTAACATAGACACAAGTCAAATAAAAAAGATTCTTTTTTCTATTTGTGTTAAAAAAAAGGAAGTTGGTGTGAAATGGGAAAGGGCACAGCTCATGGCATATATTCCTTCCCTCATGCAACCCCATCAAATGCTTCCAGATATGGAGTGAGATCATAGGACAGCCCAACAACTCCAATATTTATAAAGAGAGACTCCCATCTGCCGCATATTGAAAACATAGTTTCTACTAAAAGAAGGATAAAAAAGAAGAAGAAAAACCCACCATTGGAGCTTCAGTTTTCTGCCTGTCTCTCTTGCATAAACATTGGTCCAGTCTCATTTGATCTGGTCTGCTGCAAAATACTCAAAATTTAGAGAATGAATTCGGTTCTCTCAACTGATTCAAAGCCTAGGCTGAAGTGGACTCCTGAACTTCATCAAAGATTTATCGAAGCCGTCAATCAACTCGGAGGGGCAGACAGTTAAGTAGAACACTTCTGGACAACCTTAATAATACGATCATCTGTCTGAATAACAATATGATCCGTGAGAATATTTTTTGTTCATGTTTTTCTTTGTGTTTATTACTTGACAGAAGCAACACCAAAGAGTGTGATGAGGGTCATGGGGGTTTCTGGACTCACTTTATATCATCTTAAAAGCCATTTACAGGCAATGTACTCTTTCATCATATAATCATACCAATACTCTTTTTGTAATAGGAAGAAGAAGGTTTTAACTACATTTTTCTTGCAGAAATACAGGCTGGGGAAATCCCAGCGCACAGAAATCTGCCTTGGAAATGATAAACCAAATGGTGGGACTAAGAATTCATTGTTTGTTGCATCTATATTCATATATTGAGTTGTAGAACGGTATATTAATTCTCTTTTCATTTTACTGTTGTGATACAGATTACGAAGAAATGCAGAGCAGGAATGGGAATTTCAGTAGTGACACAAGTGGAATTCACAAGCAAATGAATGAGTAATAATATGGATCTAATTCCTATGTCTTTTGGTGAATTTTGGATGAAAATGGTGATAAAGCAGATTGACAGTCTTATTTTTGTGTTCATCAGAAGCATGCGGATTTCTCAGGCTCTCCAAATGCAGATGGAAGCACAAAGAAAGCTTCATGAACAAATTGAGGTACGCATATATAAACCATATCATACTTATTTCAGTTTGAATATCTGGTTTTCTGCTTATGCATCAATGCATACCAATCAAGCTAATTTCACCATTTTTCAGGTCCAGAGACATTTACATCTTAGAATTGAAGCTCAAGGGAAGTACTTGCAATCAGTATTAAAGAAAGCACAAGAAACATTGGCTGAATATAGATCTTCTGTTGGTGTAGTGATTGCCAGAGCTGAACTCTTTCAACTAGTCTCAATGGTTAACACCGGCTGCACAAGTTCTTCGTTTTCGGAACTAACCGATGTAGGAGGTTCAGGCTCAATCGGAAGAGAAAGAAAGGCTACAAGTACTATGTGTTCAATGGAGAGCTCATTGACATCTTCCGAGAACTCGGGGCAAGAGGACAACAGGACACTAAAAAATGAGAATATTTGTACCCCAAATGTTGAACTTTCCTTGGACTTCAACCAGAAAGGGAAGCCTTTGAGAGGTTCAAGCAAACAAGCTAATGGAAAGAAAAGAAATATGACCAACAATTCTGATGGTATATGTGCTGAGCAATCACTACCTATAAGATTGGAGCTATGCGAGGAGGAAACCGGTAGCCGTTCGAGGAAGCCCAGATACTTGGGTTCATTTGATCTCAACAGTCAATGCCACAATGATACCAAACCAGGTCCGAATGCAATAGACTTGAACTGCAGCGAATAGATCCATTCAATGGGCACGGTCGAACTTTTACAATGCTTGGTTGCTGTTAGTAATATAGTGTAAGCAATGAACTTGATTATTTAGAACCAATCCCTTATGTCCATAAACCAACTATATTGTTATATGTATTTAACTTCATGAGCTTCTGCAGAATATTGATATGAAAAGAAGGTATAATGTTATATTCTGCAAAAATATCTCGCCCTTTACTCTCTCCCTCTTAACTCGAGTTGCCGACGACAAATTCATACTTAAACTAAATATAACTAATTACCATGTTTTTCAGGGTGCTTCGTTCTTCACAGAATCACCTTGGATCATAAATTTTCCTGGAATATTCTTACCCAGAAAGAAGGTACAAATAGTTTGCACTAACAGAAACATGAATTTATTTATAATCACATATTTGGAGAAGACAAGTATCTCTTTGAGCATGATTTTCCCACAAAGATGGGGGTAAATCAAAAGAAAATTGAAATGAAGGGAAACAAAAGGAAAAACAAGTATCTAACACAATCCTTCTAACTCTCCATTTCATGATTGCCATCAGGCCTAGGACTTATAGAAGAGACATTACTAGAATCGGTTGAGGGAAGTTGATTTGAATCCTCGCTTCTCCTACTATCGTTTAACGAAAAACTAACCCAAATCTCCCTCCTATGCTCATCTCTCTTCTTGCCCATCTCTTCTTCATCAACAGGCATCTTATACCTGCAAACAGGGCATGTCCCATGAATTCCAAGCCACTTCTCTATGCACCTATCATGAAACTTGTGCTTGCAAGACATCTCCTTTGCCACCTCACCAGGCTTCCACTCTTCCAAGCAAACAACACACTCCCCATATTCACTTTCATCGACTTCCACACTTGGCATGGCTTCTATGGATGCCTTGGAAGCAGGCGGCTGGCCATCTTTGTTAGCCTGACCACGTAACAAAGCCTCCAAATTGGAGTCTCCTTCGATCACCACCATGCTTTGAGTAAATGGGTTGATGAGAACTATTCTTTCACGTCGGGAAGTTGTTTCCTGTGATGTTTCTTGATCTGGGTCTTCACTGTTTTCTCTTGAAACATTGTTGGAGACACCCAAGATAAAAGGTAGAAAGAAATAGAGGTCTCTTTGCCTCAACAACCTTTCAAACAAAGAAGAAATTTCGGGTGCTTCAGTTTCAGAAGCCATGAGAACTTATGAATCTGAGGACAAAAAGAGAGACTTTGGAGGAAGAAAACGAATTCGATGGACAAAGGAAATACCTTCTGAAGTCTTGGAATGAATCAGTGAATGAAAAGAAAAGATCTTTGGGAGATAATTATAATAGGGGAATTAGTGGAAGTGAAGAACCGGAGAGCCCACAGAATTGAGATTGGGGAAGGTTGTGGAAAGATCTGGAATGTTGATTACCGTGTATCAATATTTTTTCTCATTTTTAACAATGTTTATCCCTTCAAACATGTTAAGAAGAGATATTTTAAGGAGCGCGTAGAATTCAACGCTGAGGCCAGTTTATGTTTGAGTGCGACTTGTCTTCTCTTTGATATTTCCCCCCGACATTTATTTAACCTAATAAGACTAGCAAAAAGAGTTTTTTTTTATGCTAGTTGGGTAAAGGTTCTTCTTGAATCATCTGGACTTTAAGCTCTGGGCATGTGTAAAGTCAATAATTGTGGGTGTATGGGGGCACCGAATGGGGTGGAGTGGGCATCGAATTCGATGCAATTTTTTTTTATTTTATAATAGGATTAATTATATTTTAATCATAGTATATTTTAGGATTTTTATAAGATTAATTCTTAAGCTTCAACAATAAATACCTTAAATCATTTAGCTTCAAAATCATCCCAAATCATTTTTTCTCTCAATATTAGAGAGTTTTTTTGTGAGTATCGAGTGTTTTTTAAACATTTGTAAATTTTCTCTCTTAGTAAAAAATCTACAGCAATCTGGAGACGTAGACATAATTGGCTGAACTCCGTTATCATTTTCGGGTATTATTTTTTCGCTTTTATTTCGCATTCTCACTAATCTGGTTATAAGGAAATTACTCGTACTCGGTTTATTTCCTAACAACTGGTAATCAGAGCTTTTGGTTGTGAATTTTGTCAATTTTTTGTGAGATTACTATTCACGTGAATAGCGAATTTCGTGATTAGTAAATTTTGTCGGTGATACGAATTTGTCGATGTAGGTGTTCTAATACACGGTGGTTCGCAAGAATTGTCAGAAACGATCCAAACAAAGTCAGATTCGAGTGGGAGCGATGGATGCAGACGAAGAGAATGTGAAAATTGAAAAGTTCGATGGTGCAAACTTTAGCTTTAAAAATCTATATCAACCTCTATCAGGAAAGCAACCAGAGGGTATGAAGAATGAAAAATGAGCTATTCTCGACAGACAAGCCCTCGGAGTTATCTGACTGACATTGTCCCGAAATGTTGCTTTTAACATAGCAAAGGAAAAGACCACGGCAGGCTTATGGCGACTCTCTCTAGTATGCATGAGAAGCCATCAGCCTCAAACAAATTCATTTGATGAGGCAATTATTCAATTTGCGGATGTCAGAAGGGGCATCAGTGGCTCAACACCTAAATGAACTCAACACAATTACTACCTAGTTGAGTTCCGTGAAAATTGAATTCGATGATGAAGTTCGAGCTTTAATTCTCTTATCATCTCTACCAGACAGTTGGAATGCTACTGTTACAGCAGTTAGCAGCTGGTCGAGAAATAGTAAATTGAAATTCGACGATGTTCGGGATCTGGTACTAAGCGAAGAAATTCGACGGAGAGAATCGGGTGAAGCATCAACCTCCTCAGCTTTGTACACGGAGTCCATAGGGAGAACTTCAGAAAGAAATTCAAATCGTGGCATATCCAAATCCAGAAGGGGGAAATCAAGAACGAGAAATAAAGATTTTACCTGTTATAATTGCGACAAGAATGGTCACTTTAAAAGAGATTGCCGAGCACCGAAGAAAAATACTGGCGCACAGGAATATGCCAACGTGACAGAGAAGACATGTGATGCCATGATTCTAAGCGTCAACAGTCCGATTGAATCATGGATCTTAGATTCAGGGGCATCTTTCCACTCCACCCCATGCCGAGAAATCATGGAGAACTATGTCAGTGGTGATTTTGAGAAGGTTCATTTAGCTGATGATGAAACATTGAAGATCGTCGGAAAATGAGACATCATATTAAAGCTGCCAAACCAGACCACTTGGACGCTGAAAGGAGTGAGACATATTCCTGGCCTTAAAAGAAATTTGATTTCTGTAGGACAGTTTGATGGAGAATGTTATAGTACAACCTTTTCATGCTGTGAATGGAAGATTACAAAAGGAGCATTGCTCGTGATAAGAAGACCGATACTCTCTATGTAACCTCAAATTTAGATAATATCATTGTAGTAGCAGATGCTGATGGAAAATCAAACCTATGGCACCAAAGGCTTGGCCATATGAGCGAGAAATGAATGAAGACACTTTTGTCAAAAAGGAAGCTGTCGGATCTAAAGAATGTAGATGTCAGACTATGTGAAGATTGTATCTTTGGTAAACAAAAAAAGTCAGTTTTGCAAAGATTGGCAAGACACCCAAGGCAAAAAAGTTAGAGTTGGTCCATACTGATGTATGGGGACCATCTCCAGTTCCATCTCTTGCAGGCTCATTATATTATGTCACCTTCATCGATGATTCAACAAGGAATGTGTGGGTTTATTTTCTGAAGAAGAAATCAGAAGTCTTTGATACCTTCAGAAAATGGAAGGCCGTGGTGGAAAATGAGACTGGTTTGAAAGTCAAGCGGTTGAGGTCTGACAATGGAGGAGAGTACAGAAATAGTAGATTCAGAGATTTTTGCGCAAGCAATGGGATCAAGATGGAGACAATAGTTCCCATGACACCGCAACAGAATGACGCAATAGAATGGCGTAGCAGAGCGCATGAACAGAACTCTAAATGAACGTGCCAGAAGCATGAGGATACATGCCGAATTGCCCAAATTTCTATGGGCTGAAGCTATCAACACTGCAACTTACCTGATCAACCGTGGGCCCTCAGTTCCTTTGGATAGTGGAATACCAGAGTAAGCTTGAAGCAAGAAAGAAATAAACCACTCACACTTAAGAGTGTTTGGTTGTATTTCTTATGTACACATAAATTCTACTGAAAGAAGCAAACTTGATGTCAAGTCCAACAAATGCGTCTTTGTTGGTTATGGTGGTGATGAGTTCGGTTACCGATTTTGAGACTATGAAAATCGAAAGATCATCAGAAGCAAAGACGTCATTTTCAATGAGAATGTGATGAACAAAGACAGGTCAACCATAAAATCAAGTAGCTCCAATACCGAAGCTGAAACAAATGAATTTGCTGAGTTTGAGGAGATTTCTAGAAACAATGTTCATCATTCCTGAAGCAGTTCAAGAAGAACCATGCACACCAGAACTGAGACGCTCCTCCAGAATTCCTAAACCAACCCAGCGTTATTTGTCTTCTTTGCACTACTTGTTGCTGATTGACAATGGTAAACCAAAGTGTTATGATGAAGCAATGAAAGTGGAGGATTCAGTCAAGTGGGAGTCTTCCATGAAAAATGAGATGGACTCGTTTATGTCAAATCAGACGTGGGAATTAGCTGAATTACCACTAAGCAAGAAAGCGCTTCATAACAAGTGGATTTACAAGATCAAAGACGAACACGATGGGAGCAAACACTATAAAGCAAGATTGGTTGTCAAAGGCTTTCAGCAAAAAGAATGTATTGACTACAATGAAATTTTCTCTCCAGTCGTGAAGCTGTCTACAATCACACTAGTGTTAAAAATTGTAGATGTAGAAAATCTACATCTTGAGCAGTTAGATGTAAAGACAGCTTTCCTTCATGGTGATTTGGAGGAAGAAATCTATATGAGGCAGCCAGAAGGCTTCATAGAGGCAGGAAAGAAAAACCTGGTATGCAGGTTGAAGAAGAGCTTGTATGGTTTAAAACAAACTCCTAGACAGTGGTACAAGAAGTTCGATAGTTTCATGAGTAGTAGTGGTTTTACCAGATGTCAAGCATATCATTGTTGCTACATTAAGAGGTTCGACAACAGCTTTATTATTTTATTATTGTATGTTGATGACATGCTCGTTGCAGGCTCAGACATGCAAGAGATTATAAACTTGAAGCAAAAATTGTCGAAGCAGTTTGCTATGAAGGATCTGGGCGCTACAAAGCAGATTCTTGGGATGAGGATTAAGAGAGACACAAAGTCGGGGACTTTGATGTTATCACAGGCTGAGTACATCAACAAAGTACTCTCCAGGTTCAACATGCAAGATGCTAAACCAGTAAGTACACCTTTAGGTGTTCATTTTAGACTCTCCAAAAAACAGTCACCAAAGACGGAGGAAGAACGTGCACACATGGTGAAGGTGTCGTATGCCTCAGCAATTGGAAATCTGATGTATGCCATGGTTTGTACCAGACCAGATATTGCTCATGCAGTGAGAGTTGTTAGCAGGTACATGAATAATCCGGGCAAGGTACACTGGGAAGCATTCAAATGGATCCTCAGATATCTGTGAGGTACCACAAACAAAACACTTTGTTTCAAAGGTGGAGATACGATACTGACAGGCTATGTAGATACTGACTTAGCCGGAAATATTGACATCAGAAGGAGCACTACAAGGTATGTCTATACTCTAGGAGGTACTGCAGTGAGTTGGGTTTCTCAACTACAGAAGATAGTTGCTCTCTCCACAACTGAAGCAAAATATGTCGTTGTTACGGAAGCCAGCAAGGAGATGGTTTGGCTCCAAAGTTTCTTGGAAGAGTTAGGCAAGAAACAAGAGAACAATATCTTGTATTGCGACAGTCAAAGTGCTATCCATCTAGCAAAGAATCCATCTTTTCATTCCATGACGAAACACATACAATTATAGTATCATTTTATTTGGTCTCTTTTAGAAGATGGGATTTTGAAACTTGAAAATATTAGTGGAGCTCAAAATCCGGCAGACATGTTAACAAATACGGTGACAACGACAAACTGAAGTTATGTTCAACTTCAGTTGGCATGCTAGAATAACAAGACTAGAAATGTTGCTGCATTGATCAAGGTGTGAAGAAAAATTAAAATCAATCTTCAAGTGGGAGATTGTAAAGTCAATAATTGTGGGCGCATGGGGGCATCGAATTCCACCGAATTCGGTGCAATCAATTTTTTTTATTTTGTAATAGGATTAATTACATTTTAGCCACTGCACACTTTAGGATATTTACAAGATTAGTCCTTAAGCTTCAACTATAAATACCCAAACCCATTTAGCTTCAAAATCATCCCAAATCATTTCTTTTTCCCAATACTAGAGAGATTTCTTGTGAGTAGTGAGTGTTTTGTAAACACTTGTAAATTTTCTTTCTTAGTAAAATATTTGCAACAATCCGGAAACGTAGGCATAATTGATTAAACTATGTTATCAATTTCGAGTATTATTTTTCCACTTTTATTTCGCATTCTCACTAATCTGGTTATAGGGAAATTACTCGTACTCGGTTTATTTCCTAGACTTTTCAATGTTTTAGACCATGATTAATCATAAGACTTTAGTAATTATATAAAGGTGATTTAAACCATGATTGGAGAAAATGTTGGTCCACCTGAATGTAATCACAGGGCCTTTACATGATAAAATGCAGTTGTTTGAAATACATATCAAAAGAGTTTAAAAGGTAGGAAATTCAATCTCTGAACTACATTCCCCTCGGGGGAAAACAGGGCATTCCATGAGGTTTGACCCCGAGCTGTCCAAGCACAAATATACCTGGTAAAGTTGGCTGTTCCCTGATGAGTCATCATTGCACTCTATCCATGGAGTGTAACCAGTTCCTTCTTTTATAGCATCTTTAATATTCACCACGCTATAAGATCCTCCATCTGGATTGATTCCTGCAATGCCGTCATTTTGTTATTTTTCAATAAACTAGTGAGGGAATAAATACTGCGGCAAGTGAAACTTACTGTGAGAAGTGTTAATTTTATGGATTTACCTGCACCTGTAAGACTGAAGGATTTTTTTTTGTTTCCTTAAGCTGAGAGCTGTTCTGAAGTAGCTGTGTTGATCAAGGATGGACTCCGAGCAGGTACCGTGTTTTTCCCATTCATGAGACCAGAAACTTTCTCCACTGCTGCTTGGACAAGCTAGTGATGGCCAATTCGTCCTCATGCTACTGATGAGGTCTGAAATCTGCAATCTCATAATATTTAAGAAGTTGATACTTGAGGAGGCATGAAGAAATACTATTATGTTATATTATCCAAACATTTCATCCGGACATATTTGGATGAGGAAGAAGATAAAATCCTCCAAATATACGATAACTTCTTTTGTAAAATAAATATGTTGCAGACTTGGTCACAAATTAATAGCCGGCCTAGGTTCTTGGTGTTATAACAATTCATCTGGGACGACAAAAACAATGTAATGGCTATCGACTATAAGTACAGCTAGAACATTAACATCATCTTCTACATCTCATTAGAACCAGAAAATCAAGATTGCTAGCATGTTGTACCTCGGATTCATTAAAAGGGTTGTTAGGATCACAATTTTGAGGGTATGAACCATTTATGTAATTAGGCCAAAGTCCATGAATGCTGAAATCAGCGACGGGTTTCCCTGTTGGAGGGTAGCAACAACTAAACTTGTCTGAATCGCAGTAGGATCCCGGCCACTGCAACAACAGAGTGATTCAAATGAGACATGAACAAAGAAAATCAAAAGAATCCCAGAAAATAAATGACCTCTTATTAAAAATAAAACGACTCACCTGTTGAACAAAGTAGAAGAAATCAAAACCCTTTGAAATACCAAGAATTGCCTGATACTGTAAGGCTAAAAGATTAATCAAGGCTAAACACTTGAACTTCATTTTCTTTTTCTCCTCTCACCCTGCTTTACCTTTGTCTCAACTAATTAAAGGTTGAAGAGTTTGAAAACGTTATAACATTGATAAGCTGGTTTTATAGGTAAAGATAGAAGATTGTTGGTCAAAGAATCCGATATGCTAAGTTTCTGGCAGACCCTTAATAAATACAACAAGATGTTTTTGTCTTTAATGTTTTCCCATAATTGCAATGCATCGGCTCAATCCCCTTTTTTGTTTTATCTTCTTAGAAAATGTGTTTGAATTGCTGCAAAAAAATAGGCAATATTAATGCATTGGTTTCATTATAGACAAAATACAAGTTTTTTTTATTTAATTTCTTTATATTATCTTGCCTGCAAAACCAAGTGAGATGCGACACCTGGGAGCAAATATGATATGAGGCTATGTTAAACATAACATACAAAACCACTCACTTGTTTTACATGACTTTCAATAAGTTCAAAGGCATATCAGGGTTCATGCATGTTAAAATTGTAGCAACAATATTAAGGGAATTAAGGAATTCTCCATTGTAATTCACAGACTCCAGTATGATTTTATTCATGGAATGAAGGAATTACAATGAATGAAACATAAGCCTTTTAATTAGCAACTATATTAAGGAGTCCATACAATGGGAACTTCTACACTGTCCTCAACTTCTGAAATGAAGCTGTCATTGCCAAGTCCAAGAAGTGAAAGTATTCGGATCCAATTGCCGTCCTCTATAAAAGTTTTTACTCGATTTTTATTTCTTTATTTATGAAACAACATGCTTTGTAATCAATTAAATACTTACACTATGCATAGAAGTGATATTAATTCATCGCATAAAAATAAAAATTTGCAAGTACATGTTTTCTACCTTCCTTGAGCTTCAGACTTCAGTAATGCTGCATAACCATAGCGTTTTGCAAAGACCAAAATTATCACCAGAAATCACCACAAGAGCACTTTCCATCACTAAAGTGATGGAATCGTTGGACATCTCTTAGTATTATCTGCCCATCAAAGATATGTGATATAAGCTTAGCAGCATCATGGCAATCCCCACAGACTCGTAGGCTTTTCACTACACGGATTGTTGATCCAGGGGGAGTGTTTAGGAGTCCAAAAGCAATGGCCAATTTCTCACTATGATAACGAAGTGAATTTCTTTCTCTTCTTCTCCCATTTCCGCACGAAAAACTAGGGAAGTATCAGGTACATAACCAACCATCTTCAATTCCTTCATTAACTCATCAAGCGCCTTATGAAGAGATGTTGAAACAGTATTCACCCCATCCCCAGAGAAGAATTCATGCACTACGTTGTCCACCTCTATGGAGCTACAACCAGGAACTTTTACTACCCCTTTATCTTTCATCAATTTCCTTAGGAAATCCACATCTTCCCATCTCCCAGCTCTTGCACACAAGTTTGATAAGATTACATAATCTCCACCATGAGAGTCATCTAGCCCAAAAATTCGTTTAATCACCCTCTTTAACATTCCACATCACAGTGACTAATACAAGCAGCTAATAATGTTTGCCAAAATATCGGGGTAGGCTTGATTGGCAATTCATCAATGAACTTATAAGCCTCATCTAAGTGTCCTGTTCGAGCAAGTAAATCAACCATGCATCAATAATGCTTGATCCCCAGAATAATCCTATGTTTATCACTCATACTATGAAAAAACCTCCAACCTTCGTCCAGAAGTCCATTATGACTACAAGCATATAATAGACCTAAAAACGTGATCTCATCAGGTTGCACTCCTTCCTTTCTCATCTCTTCAAACGTTTCAATGGCTTTATAACCCTTCCCGTGAGTTGCATATGCCACAATCATTGCTGACCAAGCTGCTGTATCCCTGATACTCATGTTCTTAAAAACACAAATTGCTTCCTCCAAGTTCCCACACTTTGCATACATATCAATAAGTGCGGTGCTTTCTTTAATAACTTATCAAACCCATATTTTTTAACATATTCATGTATCCACTTCCCCAAATCCAACGCTCCTAACAAGGCACAACAAGAGAGAACACTTAACATAGCAACATCAGTAGGCTTCAAACTTTTAACTTGCAATTCACGAAACAACGACAACGCCTCATTCGGTCTGCTACATTTTGCATAACCAGTAAAAATAGCATTGTAAGAAATAACACAAGGATCCAACATCTTATCAAAGACTGCGAGCTGAATCCACATCATTACACTCAGTATACATACTAATAAGGCTGGGACATATGTAGATGTTATGACTAAGCCCAAGTTTAATGGCAAGGCAATGAATTTGTTTACCTTCTTCCAAGGCTTTAGCACTTGAACAAGCTTTAAGAACAGAAGGGAAGATGTAGTCATCAGGCAGGAAGCGAAAGGCTAGAAGCTGAGAAAAGAGAGGAATGGCTTGGATTGGGGTATTGGAACGTGAATACCCACGGACCATGGTATTGAAAAGGACACCATCAGGTTGGGATATATTGTCAAACAGTTTGTGGGCGTATTCCATGGAGGCAGAAGTTGGGTTCTTATTGCAGAAATTGATGAACTTGGTGAGGAATGTGAGGTCATTTTGGAGATGGGTTTTGATTGCAAGGGCTTGGATTTGCCTTAGTTCTTTCAACGAGGTGCATTGGGGCAGAAGAGATAGAGGATTTTGTGGTGGATTTAACGGTTCAGTTCTTGAGAATTTCTCATTGAATTTTAATTTTGGAAGAGTAATTGAAATTACTGGAGATGGCCATTGCAGCAAATAAATGGCAGAAGGTGGAATATTTTTGCTTCAAAGATTTGTGGAGGGAAACCAAAACAAATAGAGGTAAGAGCTTTAACTTAGGGTAAAGGATATTGTATCCTCATTATAAGATATTATTTTATTGAGTTTCTTAATTATTACAAGTTATAAAATGATCTCTCGATTATAGAGAGTTGTTTTGTTGAGTTTCTCGAGTCTCAAATATTAAAAGTTACAAAATGGTCACTTGACTATTATTATGTTTCAAACGTGTCATTTTCCATTAAAAAATTATCGGTTGTCTGAGCTGAACGTTAACATATCAACTGAGATATGATAGTTTTTTTAGATTATGAGATCAAATTTTATCATAGTTCAGTTAGCAGGTTAGCGTATAATTCAGATTGTTGTCAAAATTTTAATGGACAATGACGAGTTTGGAACACAATGAATAGTCGGGACGATTTTGTAACTTTTAGTTAAAGGACTCAACAAAGCAACTTCCTATAATTGGGAGATTATTTTATAACTTTTAATCATAAATGAACTCAATAAAGTGATATTTTATAATTGGATGTCATTTTGTGTTAATTACCCTTTTCTAATGAGAAACAGTAACTATATGAATTCAAGTATACTTATCTAAAAGAAACAACCATTAATATGATGCCACGTAAATGAACTGTACATTCTTTTGATACAAGTAATTGTTAACTCTAGCCAAACATAGGCTAATTCTCTAACATTTCACGATGATTGATCCCTATAGTCATAGCTACTTGAACTCGTAATCTTTAAAAGTAATCTTTATTTACTCGATATTGCTGATCATACTGTTTTCCCCCTCTTTTAAGAGTTAACATCTTACAATAAAGCTTGGGGGTCAATAACTACATTGATAATTCACAGATGGTTAACAATTTGTCTTATGGAAGTAAAGGTTCCGACTACACCTATGAACAATCCTGCCACCAAAATCGAAACTATTATTATCAATTCCAATCCGAATTTTCTAGCAGCTTTGTTAAGCTTAAGATAACACAGGCATGGCAGTAACATAGACGCGGTGACACTTAAAAACGATCCTATAAAGGCCATCACGTAGCCAAAAAACGGGATGGATAAGGCAACAATCACTGTGCTGATCACAAGTGTAGTTCTAATGAAGATGCTTAGAGACCTGCTGTTGCGAAAGACCGGTTTTTCCTCAATAGCAGTCGCGATCGGAGCGGTTATAACAGCATATTTCGTGAGGGGGTTGATTAGAGTAGTGTAGATTGCTATTTTTGTGCTCATCTTTTTTATGGGAAGATTTAATGTCACTTGAGACTTGAGATGTTCTCCATACATCAGGTAGCCCAGAACCGCCATCGATCCGTAGCTGATGGTGCTTGTGACGAAGCAGACAAGTAAAACCTGCAACAAGAAATAGAAAGCTTAGATGTGCATGAAATGAGTTTGTTTCCCTCAGGGACTAGAAGATAATTAGGGAAGATATCGGTATCTTACCTTGGAGAATTTGCTTCTGTCTTTCATTGAGTTGCATAATGTAGGGAAACATGTATGGCCACAATAACAAAAGGCAAACATGCTTACGGCAATAGGCATGCCACTCCAATTTAAAGCCACACCACTTTCATTGAACCCCACTTTATCAACTGCTCCAATCCAAAAGATGCAAATAACAAGAATAAAAGAAGCTAACACCCCACCAGCAGAGACATAGGCAAGTAGCCCCAAGCTCTTCAACCATGTGGTTGGCAAAACTACGAGGGAAGTCAGTACGATAAACGCTTGCTTTCCTCCGATTTTCATCCCGGCCAGTTTGAACGCTGTGTTCGGAAACAGCTTGTCCAGGTTGTCACCTTCTAATATCAGAAACTCGACTGCAACCAGATACAACTCGACGTACATGAACACGGACACGATAGCTCTGCCCTTGTATCCGAAAGCATGCTCACCGATATCGGGATAGGTTTTGATGAGCGGATGAGTGTTCATGCAACTTCGTAGAAGTAATCCCGTGTACCAACAGAGAACAGCAACTAGGAAAAGGAGCACTATACTTAACCATCCTCCTTGAGCAAGTGCATATGGGATTGACAGTATCCCAACACCTGAAAGATTGGTTATACAATTTCTTTAGTTTCTTAATGTTCTACGAAGAGTAAAACTTTAAAACACAATAGGAAGAGATGAGAAGGACCTGATAAGGCATTGAGGCCATTGAAACAAGTTCTAAGGAAGCTGGTGCCTTTGTTTGGTTGCTGTTGAACCTCATTTTGGCTCTCCAATTTCTCTGTTCCTGATAAGTCCATCTTGTGCCACTCATGTACCCACACAGGACAACAAAAAATATAAGAGCAACAAGCTGGTGATGTCTACCTTGTGGATGGTGACATGTATATGCACCTGCATTATTTTTCCTTCCATTAAAATAAATCTCTTGGTCGATGAAAAGAAAGTGAAGATACGTAGACGGCCATTCAACTTCTGACGGAAAAAAGCAGTTCCTTGCATTAAGGTGAAAAATACATTTCAGCTTTCAAAAGGGAAACCCACTCACATGAAACCATTTGTCATTTGATGGAACAGTTCCCCTTATTTTCCCTCCAAGGTAGTTTAATAAGATTAAGCTTTTTTCATTTTTGACATGCAGTTCATGCAAACCTACCTATATGTGAAATGGTAGGTATTCTCATTTAATGCAAAAGCAGCTCTTCTTTTCATTTTCGCCTAATATTTATGACAAAAAAAAAAGAATTTAACGGTACAGTTAAATTGTAACATTTCCCATCAGAAAATTGAAGCCAAAACTGGGTGTTCAAAAGTTATAAGTTATCATAATGGAGAAGAGATATCCATTTTTGTTCTTGTTTTTACGTGAAGGGGTCGACCCACATACTCTCAAAGTTGTGTCTAAGGGTGTCTCTTGAAGTTGCTCAAGAGCAGAAACCACACTGTTAAAGAACCGATGCTGGCATGAATTGGTCTATATTTCAGCATTAACCACTAAAACATTATCCCCAAACCCATTCACTTTAAATCCCTGTTGTTTTCTGTATTTTCTTTGGATCGCTGCCCATGAACGACCATTTTTATATAATTGTTTGACTACTTTTTCTCCATAAAAGCAAGATTCCAAAAGCAACAGAAATGACATGCAAAGAAAAAAAAAGCAAGTGATTTAGATAAGCACTGGTAACTTAGCGTGTTCAAGTACTGAATGAAGCTGCTCCATTAGACTGTTTGGAAAACATGGAAGCTCCAAATGGATCAACTGATATTTCCAAAAGGGGAAAGAAAAGAAGGGTCGGTCTCTTTTGCTGTGAAAATCGACTGTACCATTCAAAGGCAACGTTCATTTCTGAGAAGGAAAATTCTTTCATCTTTTTTATCAGTACTCTTGGTGTGATGTGATATGAAAGTGAAGGTCGTCCCTTTCCCAGTATCGACAAGATAATTGGAGCTTTAAGGAAAGAGGAAAAAGAAAGTAGAATCTTGCTGGATCATCTCTCTCATCTTATTGGTGAATTTTTATGACCTCAAGGTATGCAGAGCAGCACTGGGAAGATGATGAAACAAAGAAAAGAGAGCAAATTTGGAATTCTAACACGAGGAGTTTCGGTTTTTGGGTTTAGGGTAAAAAAGATTTATCGACCAATAACATGCTTGCTTTCTGCACTATTTTTATACATGAAAATATTAGTGATCCATCAACCATCGAATCCACAAATATAAGTATCTATTGTGAATAGGGATGGCCGCTTCGAATCCGACAGATTTCGATTTAATCCGATTTGATCGGATTAGATTTTATAAAAAAATTGGGTTTAGATCGGGTTGAGTTTTTTTAATGTAATATTCGGGTCGGGTTTAGGGTGATAAATTTCCGACCCGACCCAACCCGAAAAAATATATAATTTTATCTTATATATTTAGGAATAATTATATTAATACCCCTCTATATATATATATATATATTTTTCAATTAAGTCACTATTTTTATTGACTAAAAATATTTTTTATTATTTTAGGTCGGATTTCTAAATCATATATTTGGGTAGGATCGGGTGAGACCTTGTTTTGATCGGGACGAGTCTGGTCTCGAGTGAAAATTCTCTTATTCTCAAATCTGGTCGAGTGTCGGGTCTAGTGGACCAAAAACCCGAGCCGACCCATTACCATCCCTAACTGTGAAGGAAAGCAAGTGCATGTTTTCCCAACTCGCTCGCCACTACGTTAGTGGAGATGTCAACCCTGGTGCCATGTTTTTTCACATTTATTTCAATGTTCTCTCTCTCTTCATGTTACGAGGCTAAAACTAGTAAACTACTTTCTAAATAATACAGCGTGAAACAAATAAATTTTGTGGTAAAATTGTCGTTATTTTTAAGGATATAAGTTTAAACACCATAGATATTAGAGGTTATTTTTGAACTAATGTTATCTTGTACTTATCCTTAATTAATAAAAAAAAGACTTTTCTTTTATTGTCATCTCGGTTTCAAGGTTTCCCCTTAACTTATCCAGATCGACCCGCGTCGCACATATGGCTTTGGTGAGTGACTTATCCAGATCAACCTGCATCACACATCTGACTTTGGTGAGATTTTCTACATACATAAGGACTCGAGCTCGAGACCTTGCTTAAGCGACATCAAGCTACTTACCACTTGAATCAGTCTGTTGGTAAAAAAAATACTTTCTAAATACACATTTCTCTCTTAGAATATTGAAGTGTGTATGATCTATTTATAAGTTGTAAAATTTATAAGGGTAAAATGCATAAATGGTTCTCCGACTATAAAGAGTTGCTTTGTTAAGTCTCTTGACTATTAAAAGTTACAAAATGGTCATCCTACTATTCATTATGTTCCAAACTCGTCTAGTTCCGTTAAAAAATTGATTGCAGTTTGAGTTGTACTTTAACCTACTGACTGTGATATAATAAAATCTGATCTCATAATCTCAAACGACTATCATATCTTAATCAGTATGTTAACGCCTAACTCAGATGAATATTAATTTTTTAATGAAAAATGACGAATTTGGAACATAATGAATAGTTGAGTGGTAATTTGTAACTTTCAATAGTAGATGGACTCAACAAAGCAACTCATGTAGTCAAGAGACTACTTTGTAACTTTTAAGAATCAGATGACTCAATAAAACAATATCCTATAGTTGGAAACTATTTATGTACTTTACCCAATTTATAAACTTTATTCCGATTTAAAATTATTGAATATGTGGATGATTTTTTATCAATAAATTCTTTTTACCATTTAATTTTTAATTTCAATTACTATTTATTTATATTTATTTAATTTTTAAAATTAATATAAAATTAAATAATTTTATCAAATGTAATTGATTCTACCCTTTATATATATATATATATATATATATATTAGGGATGGGCATGAAACCCGAATCCGACCCAAGTCGGGTTTTTAAAAAAATTCGGGTTCTGGTTCGGGTCAAGTTTTTTAAAAGTGATGTTCAGATCGAGTCAGATTTGGGTTTAGGGTGAAAAATACTCGACCCAGAAAAAAATATAATTTTACCTTATATATTTAGGAATAATTACAATAATATCCCTTTATATATTATTATTTTTAATTAAATCACTGTTTTTATTGTATAAAAATAATATTTTTTATTATTTCGGGTACGATCGGATCGATTTCAGATTTTATCTAAAAAATTGGGTCGGGTGGAGGGTATATATTTTTCAGCTCAAATCAGGTCGGTTGAAGGATATAAACATTTTAGGTCGGGTCTGGGTTGGTCGAAACCTGACCCAAACCCGACCCGTATATATAATTAGATTTAGCACTAAAAATGGATTAAGGGAAATATAGAACTTTACTATAATGGCGCGTTCAAATCAAATAAAGAATGAAATTATTTAAGTAATCACCTTTTTAAACGACATTTGCGTTGATAAAGCAAAATCAGATGGACCCATACAATGAAAAGACATGGTAAAAGTTCGGTATAACATTAAAAAGTGAGTTTTATTTGGTTGAAATTCCGGTTTATAAGGTTTCACCTCAATTAATTAAGATAAATTCGAGTTATACACTTAATTTTGGTAAGTGAGTCTCTTAATGAGGATTTTATGTATTCACAAGAACTCGAACTCGAGACTTGTTTAAGCGAAATCAAGCTGCTTACCACTTGAACCAATTAAAAGTAATGTAGAAACGAATTTTCAAAAGTTTTATACAAAAACGCAATTTAAAATTTAATTGTTTGAGATTGTTATTAAAAATCGAGTTTAAAAAGATAAAATATTTATTATATATTATGTTATAAATTAAAAATATAATATTTAAGTTATATTTACACTTATATATAAATTATATTAATTTAAACTATAATAAATTTTAAAAATAATTATCATACGTGAATTATATTAATATAAACTACGATCCACCGGAGGAAGTAATCAATCTACTACATGAGGAAGCTAGGGACCATATTAACCAAGCTTAAGCTGAGCAGGCTATTTCTTTTTCTCATAAAAAGGATTTCTTTTATATAATTTATTATTCATATTTTAGTATATAAATCATAAATTGTATTTATTTTTAAATAATTAAAATAAATTATATTAAATTATTAAAATAAAATGTAAATACATAATTGAGTGAAACTCATGCATCTGTATGAATAAAATTATAATTTATTTCTAAACATAAAGTTAAAAATGAAAAATCTATAAATACCAACTTTTACGGTTGATTTAAAATTACCGTTTCTGCCGTAATTTTTTTTATCTTTTACCCGTTTGATATTGATTTCACGATCAAAACGATTTTTTTTAACCAAATGTTCTTTTAAAAAACTTTACTAAATGTATTTTAAATTAAATTGACAATTAAGAGAAGCCTGTAGAATTGATATGCCACAAAAGTATGGTGCACTCAATAACATGAGAGGACAAATCCTTTCTAAAACCACCTATTAGTAAGGTTTAGATGATTCATAGCTTATAAATTTAAAAATTATAATTATTTAAATTAAATTAAATGTTTTATTTAATTTATATTAATTTTATAATAAAAATATACTTAAAAATAATAAAACAATTTTAAAAATATTATATACAAATCACTAATTTTTTGTTTACTTAAAAATATAATTTTATAATAATTTTTTTGAATTAAATCAAAAGGAAACTCAAATTTATAGGAATATAAGTAAACTCAACTATGATCGTCATGTGTGTATCTAGTCATCCCCACGTACATAACTCCAATTATAATGGCGCAAAGCAATTCCTGGGAGCCTGTGGTCAGCATTCTCTAGGTTTGTTTCTGATTTTTATTCTAATTTAAAGTCTAAATTT